CGTTGCTGAGGTTGGTCACTGATTCCCGTAGTCGTTCTGTCCAACGCTCGAGGTCATCGTTCAGAACGGGATCGTAAGGAGTTTCCCTCAGTATAGCTTGAATGGCCCTGATGTGTTGGGCTGGAGTAGTCGATTGATTCGCCGCTTCTGCGTTGGCTTGCGCTGACGTGCCGACGTCATCGATAGCCAATACCTCCCGCGGCACGCTCGTTGTCGATGACCCATAGTCTTCGAGAAGATGTAAGACCGATGGTTCGTGAGGATCGATATCGATTACCCCAACGAATCGATCTGAGGCCAGAGTCGCTCCTTGTTCCTTGCCGTTATCCCTGACGGGGACGTATGACTTAGGAGACGGATCTTTCATGGCGCCGAGGAAGACTTTGCAGCTCGAGAGGTCGTGATTATTTGTCTTGTGAATAGGACAATAGACATCCCGAGTTGGAGAAGTACGCTGAATTCCACGTTCTTTGCAGGCGCGAATTTCAGCACGGACGTTGAGGAAAACCCAGCAATCTTGCAGGGTGTGTTTCTTGGTTTTGTGGATTTGTGGTTTCGGAAGTCATTTTTGCCGGCTCGTGGTTCATGTCGGAAGGACAAGGTTTGGCCGTATCAGAATCCTTCCCGAGCTTGGATGTCGTCGATGATCCGTTCTCCGTTTTGACGGGTGGATTTTTCGACATGGAGTCGCCTTGGTTTGTAGCCACTGTGTTCTCGTTTCCGGTCATTGGAGGACCAGTTGAGATCGGCGTCGTGGTGTAAACCAGGAAGACAATTTCACCGACTTGAGTCCATACCAGCATTGTTGAAGCAGGGAGCGCTTGGCTGAGGCTGGTGTTGACGTTGTTGTCGACGAAGCTGGATGACATAGTAGTAGAACCTTGAGTATCAAGTCCCCCTACCTGGCGCGCCACTGTCGACGGGTGATACCCGTAGACCGGATATAGAGGGTATTGGGGTACGTTGGTACAAGGATCTATGTAGTACGACATCGAACAATCAAAAGACAAGAATTATACTGGTTCAGGCCTCTTGGTAGGTAATAGTCCTAATCGAGTTGATATGGGATTATATGGTGGAAAATACATATTACAAAGGGAATGATGGAACTTGTCGGATCCGGCGAGATCGTAGTTGAGTGGATTCGACTAGCTCTCGATGACTTGGCTCCTTGCAGACTTCGGCTTTGTAGGCTGTGTGGGTTGTGTTGGCTCTAAGATTCAATGATCTATGCCCTCCCCGGGGGGGTCCCTTTTATATCACAGATCTAGAGGTCTCCAAGTAGGACTCAGAGATATTAGACCCAATACGATATATCGACGACCCAGTTCTGTCCGAGAAGGACTCTTCCCATCTGTAGATTTCGTGAAAGGTTTCCTTAGAATATGTAGAAAACATCCGCGTGCGCGTGGGTATGCCATGTCGATATGTAACGTATATCGAAGGGTAGAGGGTATGCCTGACCCGTAACCCTGACAGAGACCTAGATGACACAGCGCTACAAGTTTAAGAACCGCCCGTGCACTTGACTCTTTCTAGAATTACATTCTTTTGAATGGAGTGCCGGAGCGGTCATATTTCTTACATGCTCCTAAACAATTCGTCCTTTTCCCTTCCTTTCACCCCGTGACCCCTCCTCCTCTTTGTCATCGTTTTGTTGTTCAAATATGCCCCCTCTTTCACTTCTCTTTCACAGTTCACTATTAAATAATGTATAAAGTAACAAAACTTTTTTTATTCCCTCCCCTCCGTTACATGTTACAAGTGGTTTGACTGTCTTATTGTGTCAAAGTTATTTAGAGTTGACCAAATTTATAAAAAAATTAGCATTGTATACATAGTTTCATTAAATTTAACATTAAATATATTTTGATACAGTGTTTATTTTGTATTGAAAATGTTACTATATTTTACTATAAACTTGGTCAAAGAAAAAAGTCAAACAAAAACGGAGGGAATACCTTCTTTTCAACTTAATACATGATGAATTTGCCCTGGATTATTTTCTCCACGCTTAAAAAATATAATTTCATTGAAAAAAATATTTCTAAGTTGTTTTGACCCTTTGTTATAAGCTATTTGTTTATTATATATTTGTAATATGGGGGATCAGTCGCGCGGCCGCGCGCTACTATACGTACTATATGTATATATGTATATACGTATGTATATACTATATATATATACGTGTGTATATATAAATAATTTTTTATATGTATGCACTTTTAATGTATAAAAGATATACACATCTATATAAAGTTTGTGTGCGTACGTATAAAAAACCTAAAAAATACGTGTATACAAAGTTGGTATACATATGTATAAAACCCAAAAATACACGTATACAAACTTTGTATACACGTATAAAAAGTTTACATACGTGTATACAAAATTTATATACGTGTATATAAAGTTTGTATTTATACGTATACAAAGTTTGCATACATACGTATTAAAAAACGGAAAAATATACGAGAAGAAAAAAAAGAAAAAAGGAAAACTGGAAAAGGTACGGAAGAAAAAAACAGGAAAAAAAAAAGGAAACCATACGCGCCGTCTGTCGCCTCCTCTCTGTGCGCAACACGTCTTCAGTCGCGCGCGGGATGGCGAGCGCGACCTTTGTAATGTAGGTATAATATTTGGAACAGGCACATTCTTTACATGCCAACTTGGAGATGCGCTGCCAAGGCCATTGGACCTCTCCATCCTAGCCAGGCCCATGCCTTTATTCTCGGCCCATATTGGCCCAATTTTTGCTTAGACAGAATTGTATGTCTTTTCTTAAAAAAAAGGGATTTTCTATTTTTTATTTGTAGACATGTGGACTAGACATTAACTGTTTTTTATACTATATGATGTCCCACGTTTGACTGCGGGATATATGTTAGATATTATAGAAATGATTAAATGATTTGGATTGAAATATTATAAAATAATTTGAGAATCATGATTTAGCATGCGTATGCTTAGTTTTTGAAATGGAATAAATTGTAGATATAATTATTATATGTTTGTATGTTGAGCTTTATGTATTTAGTGAGTTGATGTGACATACTTATATGTTAGGTTTTTAAGAGTGCTAATAAAAACTATACTTAGGCTTTAGATGTCTAGTGGGTATTAGCTTTTTAGAAAGAAAAAGATTAGGACAGTTTGCCTAGAATCGTAGGAAATAATCACCATTTCGTGCTGCAGAGTGCAGATACATTCTTTTGCCTTACCGCATCAAGGATCGGATTTGACTCGGACCACGTGTAGACTTCTTCTTGTTCTGAGAGTAGAGGGTTCACAAAGCAGTCAACAAGATCAGATTTCCTGAAAACAGCTGGCTGTTGTTGTCGGTTTGTAAAACTCGATTGGTTTTAGCTTGTCTCAGTACGTTGTTGACCAAAAAAGTCAGTCTTTGTGTGTTTTCTGCCGGTTTTCTCAATGACACTGTGAGAAAGCGATTTTAACTAAAAACGCAAAGGTAAACCGAGACACCAAGAGACACTGCTCTTATGTTTTTCTGTTATCTTTCTTCTCAACAAATGCGACAACGTGTCATGAGCAAATTTGCAGCTAACTAATGATAGACTGTTGGAGCAATCTAGAAGAAATGTGATAGTTCAATCATGTTTATAAGGACATCTCTGTCTTTTTTTTTAAAAAAAAAACCTGTAGAAGGATTATCTATCTCAAATACAACATTAGATATGGCTTCACGCTCTCTCACGTGTTATATGAAGCATATATCTGCGATTCTTGTAGCAGGCTTAGCTCATCTGAAAATGCAAACAGCCAACATTAGTTTCTTTTCCGTTGAAGCAATCCAGTAATTGGTTAATTATGATGCACATTTGTCTTCTCCAATACGGCTTTTCTTTTCTATTTTTTTAGGGCAAACTGTGCTTATCGATCGGTCAAATTAAGAGTTGAAGAGGATCACTAAACAAGTAATCATCATGTCTGTGATGTAGCTTTGCAATTTATTTTAGTCGTAGCTTTTCTTTGATATGGAACATCGTGAATAATTAAATTTCAGGCAAAGAGACAGGCATTTGCTTTATAATCCCTCCGTTTCTAAATATTTAACACTGTTGACTTTTTAGTAAATATTTGACCGTTCGTCTTATTAAAAACTTTTATAAAATATGTAAAACTATATGTATACATATAAGTATATTTAACAATGAATCAAATGATAGAAAATAAATTAATAATTATTTATTTTTTTATTAGACGAGAGGTTAAATATATTTAAAAAAGTTAGCGATGTCAAATATTTAGAAATGGAGGGACTATCATTGAAGTACTTTACAAAAGATAGTATGAACATTGTTGCGCATGCATTAGGCAAATCCATCAAAAATGAAAACGAGATGCAAATTAAGTTGTGTTAATATTTTAATATGACGGATGGAGACTGCTATGATTCATTAGTCTTTGTTTACTCCATCTGTAAATGTGTTCGCTATGTTTTCCACTCTTAGGAAGAAATTAAATTGAACTAACCAATAGAGAGGACGAAGCTCTACTTTTCAAGTACAAATTAAAGTCGTTTGAATAATCTTTCGGTTGTAAACCTGCCGGCCAGATGAAGATTTTCTTAGAGACAAGACATCATTAAACTGTGGTTTCCACATTCTACACGATTTATTAATTTGGTCAAAATAGAGATATTATTTCGTACTTCTGATACGGAGCGTGACAATTAATGCAATAACATTTAGTTACTTGGTGACTGTTTCTTCTTATCTCCAAATCCAATTGGCAAAATTTGCTACAGGACATCCAAAAAACGTGTAATTAGCTATGGGACATCGCAAAAACACGTATTTGCTGTAGAACATCACAAAAAACCGGTTATTAGCTCCTGGACACCCGCGACATTATTTTATTATTTTTGGAGGAATAGGAGAGAGAAACGGCTGTGTAAGTACGGTTCTACCCTTCGAATTATTTTTCTTTATTCTTCCTTAATCTTCAAGTGAGCCCGAGGGAGAGGGAAAGCGCTGGCGATGGCGTGGGCTGGTGCAGCGCCTTGGTTGGGGCGGCGCTGCGCGGTCATGCGAGAGGTGGTGCCAGAGCTAGAGGCCGGGGCGGCGCTGGGGCGGCGCTGCGCACGCAAGGACGGCCGGGCTCAGCAGCGCGACCACACCAGGAGCGCGGCTGCTCCAGGCCGACTTCAGGAGGTTGGATCGGATGGCGCCGGCGCCGGCGCGGCGAGGCTCAAGCCGTCGCTGCGGGCGTTCTTCTCATGCGGGATCTTCAGCGCCTACACGCATCTAGCACTCAGCCTGACGGTGACGCCCAACAACAATGTCGCATGCCATCAGGCTGGTTGTGGAGGCGGCGTCGTCGCAGGTTGTGGAGGCGGCAGCACCGGCGGTGGAGGCGGCGTTGTCGCTAGTTGTGGAGGCGGCGGCGGAGGTGACAGAGGATGCAGCAGCGGGCGGCGGCGGCTGCTTCGATGATGGTTGATGAGCCCGACGACTGTGGTGATGGAGGCAGCGGCGAGCAGCGCTAGGAAGCGGGCGGTGGTGATAGTTTCGATGATGATCAGCGAGCCGGCGGCGGTGGCTTCGATGGTGACGGTTGGCGAGCGACGCTGGGAAGCGGCTGCCAGCAATGGGGATTAGATAGAGCTAAGGGCAATTTTGTCTTTTTGAAATTTCTCTCTCCTCTTTTTGATAAGAAATGATAAAATATTGTCTCGGGTGTCCTATAGCAAATTACACAAATTTTGTGGTGTCTATCAGCAGCAACGAGATTTTACAGTGTCTCTCAGCCAATTACACAATTTTTGGATGTCCTAGGGCAAATTTTGCCAATCCAATTTTCAATCACTAGATAGAGGTTGGGTTTAGTTCGTGTGCCAAATTTTTTTTAAGTATATGGGCACTTATTTAAAGTATTAAACGTAGACTAATAACAAAATAAATTACAGATTCCATCATTAGCCTAATTAATTCATCATTAGCAAATGTTTACTGTAGCACCATATTATTAAATCATGGCGTAATTAGTCTCAAAAGATTCGTCTTGTGATATACATGCAAACTGTGTAATTGGTTTTTTTCATCCATATTTAATGCTCAATGCATGTATCCAAATATTTGATGTGACGGAAAAGTTGAAAATTTGAAAAAAAAATTGATTCTAAACACGTCCAGAGTCTAACAAGTCACATGTTTATTCATTTATTTTCTGAAACAAACAATATCATGTCTTAAAATATTTGGTTTACTGCATACGCAAATGTACAGAAGCAAATAATGACTATAATTAACCTATACTAGTACATTAATTTAGGTGTGAATCAATCAAATATGATAACAAATTGAGAGAGAGAAATTTACCACAATAGTCGCGTTGTGTTGTAAAGCCACTAGCACAAAGACGGATCCAATGCAGGGGAAGAAGAGGAAAGGGAATGAGCGTAGGGGAACTGAAGGAAGAGAAAGAAGATCAGTCCTCCTTTCAACCAATCCTACATCCGCTTCTGATTGGCATCGAGTTTGACCCTAATTAATTAGGCAAAGCAACACATGGGTGATTATATAAAGTTCCACCCACTTTTTTTTTGGAACACAATAGATGTATACGCTCGTATAAATGCATACACACTCTCTATATATGCATGTACACCCTACAAACTATGTGCATATCTTCGAGGACAGGGCCGGTCCTATGATTTTGAAGGCCATTGGCGAACTTATCATGATGGGTCCTCTAAGCTATATATAAAATCTTATGATATACATATATACGCTAATTTTACTTACAAAACGAAAATAAATACATCCATACATTAAATTTAACATGTATGATAATTATCGAGAAATAAAGTTGACCAAAATAACAATACATTTGTACATTGAAACTAATATCATTACCTTAATGAAGAATAGGATCACATCATATCTATTACTTCTCATGAAAAGATACTTCTTCGGGTATTTCTTGATGCAAAATCATCAAGAACGGTACTAAAATTAATAGTGTCTAAGATATCCTTCTCAATAGAGCACATAGCCAAGCCATTTAACCTTTCTTGTGATATAGTTGATCTCAAATAGTTCTTCAACAACTTCAATTTTGAGAAACTTCTTTCAGTTGAAGCTACTGTCACAGGTACAGTTAAGAGAATTCGATAGACAATTGAAATATTTGGATAGCAATCTGCATCCATAACAAACTTCACAATCTCAGGCGGAATCTGGCAAACTCATTTGCAACACCTTTAATTCTAAATAAAAATCATTGATCTCAACATCGGATGAGTTCTCATGAGTAAATATTTCCGCAAAAATCTTGCAGTGCGACCAAAGATCACTTCATCAAAGGATTTTAAATTTTCAGAGTTGCCACCCCCCACCATCATGGGCCCTCGGCGGTTGCCTTAGCTGCATAGGGCCAGGGCCGACCCTGTTCGAGGACCAGCATAGCTTGAGATTCACCATGTTACTATAGATATCTCACTATTGACGAATACATCGTCTATCACTGAAATAATAATTAGTCGTAACAATGATCTACCATAACAATGCACACACCAACACGCAAACACGTGTATTTAGTGGGACTGAACTCTATCGCGAGAAGCATCAGCTTAATTAGTGCGGAATAACATCCTTTCTATGATTGTATAATGTGATGGAAATATATGCATTCATATATATGCACGTGTACGTGCACGCATACGTCTTTGATTGTATCAAGGATTGCAAAAGAAAAGAAAATTACAGGTAAGCATCTTGGCTAAACTAAATGTTGTTCACGCTTAGGTAGTGTCTTGTTACTTACATATGTTCCCTCTGTTTTTTTAATAAGCAATTGGAGAGATGCTAGGAGATGAAGGGCTAATTCATATCAAGTTTGAACCTGCCTTGAAACCCAGGAACAGCACACACTAAAATCGTTGCCCAGAATTCATTCAGACTCCCAATGTGCTACATATGTATGTATGAAAACCTAAAGAGATCACTGATAAGGGATGTTAGGTCCCGATCTTCTGATAGGTATTGATAAACAGTCGATTTGGACGGAGTCATGACACAACTCGATCCGGCTTCTAAACGAACACGCTACTGAGCCACGCAATCGCAGCACCACGTATCCTCTGGTTATCAATAGCGCCGAAACCCGGTTGACCTCGCCGAGAAAGCTAATCCCTGCATGTGAATCGAAGAACACAAGCAAGAACAAGATAGATTGCATCCAAATTGCATATGAATGATTAAGCACTCGAATTTGGGGTTCCACAAACCGATCTAGCGGCGAAACTGCTCTTAACAGAATAATCTAAGCAAAACCTGACTCTAAACGATGGCTACTGATTAAGTATGATTAGGGACGTCCTAGGGTTGCCCTAGGGCGCACACCCCCTTGGGCTAAGCCCACGACACAATTACAAGGCTCAAAACACAAATTGGATTCGGACTGGATGAGGTGCGCGGTTTGTTTTGCTGATTCCTAGTAGCTCGGTAGAAAGTTTGACGTGGAACCAAAACCATCTGAAGGTAGACTCCATAAGCTTTCCAACAAGTACTCATGGGCCCCGAAATTCCTTCTAGATTTGTGACTGGGTCCGTTTGAAGTTGATGCTGTCAGGAGGCCCGAATCCGAATCCAAAACATGTAGAACTTTATCTCTTGTCTTCTATGGACCAAAAGTGACATGGTGAGATGAAAGAATACTTGGAGAAGGTCTTGGTTTGGTCCCAATCAACTTCTTTAATCATCCATGCATTCTTTACGCTTGGTCTCTTTTCTTTCGCCCAAGCAAGCACCGCTGCAAACAAAAACACACAAAACTCATTGTGTAGCAGCGTTTGTTCAAACATATAACAAGTAAATCTAATATAGAACATATGCACCTTTGTTGATTAATACATAAGGTAGTCATGGTTATATCCGAGCTAGTTGTATCCTCATCAATCTCCTTTCCAATGGACCTAGTCTCACATCAAAATTCTTTTTAAATTCTTCATAAGTCAACAGGAATAGTAGAAAAAACTGACTTCCAGAATATGTACGAGTGCTACGTCGCCATATTTTAGGCCTGCTGGGTCATTTATCAAGTTGGAGTTCATTAGGGACTGTATTTAGGCCCATCAGGCCCTGTATCGTGTTGGATTCTATTAGGGACTCATCCAATGGTACTTGGTCGACCCTAGAGCCTATTTATTCAGTAGTCATTATCCTATTAGAGTTAAGTTTTTCTTAGATAAATTTGTCATTGCATTCAAAAGCTTGGCTAGAAATACTATGTGTATCCTTCATTGGAAAAAAAAACTCTAAAAGAAGTAACATCCCGAGACTACATAATTGTACGAACATGCATGTCAGATATCTCAGATCTAACTATTGAAAATGTGAGAATCTATTTCCAAGTCTAGGCATTGAACCTTGGTGGAAAGGTTGAATTCCACCAAGCCAATGGAGGGATGCTGAAAGAAACCTTGTAACTTCAGGTATTTTGATCGTACTTTGTCGGGCAGCGTGCCAAACTCCATTATTCTTACGCTATGGAACCAAGGCAGTCCTACCAACTAAGCTCGCACTCGGAGGCCCCATGGTATGGGGCTTATAACGAGGGTGAAGTCGAGCACTCGTTGCATATAGACATGGTCCACCCTGAAGGAGACGGCGAAGAGGCCACGATTGAGTCAGCCCGGTATCAGCAACTACCACGCAAATACCAAAGCCGCAATGTATGAGATTGCTCTCTTTCTGTCAGCAACCTAGTCCTACGTCGAGTGTAAACCACAAAAGATAGGCACAAGCTATCTCCAACTTAGGAAGGGCCTTATAAAGTCATCACCGTCACTCGACCCGGTGCCTACCGGCTCACAACTATGAAAGGTGAATTAATCGACAACTCTTGGAACATCGAGCACCTCAGAAGATTTTACGTATAACTTGTAACTCCAACTATCATGAATCAATAAAATAGCGCAAGTCATTCTTCACCAACCTTGGCCACGTTCACTACTATGAAACATCAAATAGGTGTCGGCACTATAGGTGCCGGAAGTGCTAAAACAGACACATAAAGAACTTTTCCCACCTCCGCGGTTCAAAAACACAAAAAACCAGCACCTTTAATTGATTATAGGTGTCGGTTCTATATAAAAACCGACACCTATACTGTAGGTGTCTGTTTTTCAGAAAAAACCGACACCTTTAATTTATTATTGGTTAAAAGAGCCGAACTGACACCTTTTAAAAATCGAGCCGAGCCGGAGGAGATATTTCTTCTCCCGGCGGGGCCCACACCCGGAGGAGATAAGGCCAGCTTCTCTCGATCGGTCTCGACTTCTCCACTTCTCTCGATCCTGACTTCTCCACTTCTCCTCTCTCTCTCTCTGTGTGTAGCAGCGGCGGCGCCCTCCCCTCTGCCAGATCCGGCGGGAGGGGAGGCGCGGTGGCGGCAAACGGCGTGGAGGCAGCGAACGGTGCAGGTGGCGGCC